CGATGAAGCCTTAGCCCGAAGGTGAAACAGGGAGGCAATTCGTTTGGAAAACAGCAACAAAAGTAGCGTTTACTGTAGCAGGTTGTCGTTTTACAGAGCCGGCCAGCACGACAACGTCGGCTGGGGCAAAATCTTCTAACATGGGGCCGGCTCGGCCTTAAATAGCGTCCTTGGTCCATTCTCTCGGACCAGTTCTCGGGCTCGGAGGGGGAGATGTAGCCATACCCGGAACTGCAAAGTGGCCCGGCGGAGGAAACGACGTTATCCCCGGACTGCACGGTTCTCCTGCACAGAAGGCGGCGCTGGGAGGGGGGGGGAGACCGTTCGTCGAAACAGGGCTCGATCTCGTGAGACGTGCTGCCGAACGAGGAACATGTCGGTGGCACAACAGCACCAAGAGCTGGCGTGGTCCGTATGGAACTTTTTATTGTGACTTTTTTTTAAAACCGTTAATATATTTTTAACCAGCCTTTTTTTTATAAATATGTGTATTTGTGTGCGCTGCGTCGCACGTTAGAATTTCAAAAGCGCGACCGTAATCTTTTTCATGTAATTTTTCTTATATATCCTTTGATTCATGTCATCAGTGTGTTAACATGCCACGTATTTGTCTTTTGTTTTTACCTATTGTAGTGTTCTTTTAGAGCATAGTTTGTTTTATAATCTTTCTTTCTCATCGCATATCAGTTTTTCTCCTTTGTTATTTTTTGTAATCTCCTGCCTTTGCCCCTGTTTTAATTAAATGCTTGTTTATGTGTAATCAAACTCCGTGTCTGCTCTATGAGTGCGTCGGTCAGGCCCACACATCACCACACGTGCAACCCCGCACGGGTCGACCAACCCGCAAATAAATTTGAAATGTGCCACTTCGAGGCCTTTCAGGCGTCGCAGGCCGAAGCGTAAAGTGGAAGCCTGCGAGTCTGCCGCACGTCGATGTTGGATCGGCGGGGCCTCACCCGAAGTGTTTGACACCCCGTCAGCGTTTATGTTGATGAACAAAGTTAATGCAGTTGTCGATGGAGTGGCTGCTAAGGCACTTGTGGGGACAGGCGCGACAGTCTTGGTGATAAGTGAAGATTTTATGAACTTGCTAGGACCAAAAGTGATGTTTTGCCTGAACCGTGGAGTGACATTTTGTGGTATAAGTGGTGACGTGTTGTCTCCAGTGGGAGATATTGTACTGTGGACGTCTCGCTGTGTGGAAAAGTGTTTTGCCCAGAGTTTGCGGTTATTCCGCGGTCTACACATGACGTTATCTTGGGTATCAACTTCTTCTTTCAGGTAGGCGCTACTGCACACTGCAGAAGTGGGCACCTTTCTATACACGGTACTCTCCCAACGGCGCTACTGGAAAATTTCTGTCCGGGGAAATGCATCTTTTTTGTCTCCATGGACACAGTCGTTCCTACATTTTCTGCTGTGTGTTCCCGTGATATGTTCCAGTGACAACTGTGGCACGTTTTACGCCACGCTCAAACTGATCTCCTTGGCATGCCTGAAAAAGAACATCCTCATTCCCTATAGTGTCAGTCCTTGATGGACGGGCAGGTGTGTGGACAAAGAACAGTTCCATGGAGCCTGAAGTTTTGCCAGGCGGCATGAAACTTGCAGTATTTAGATCTGAATCGTCTACGACGCTGGTTGCCCTTGTTGATGATACAAGCTAAAATGAACATCTAGGCTTAGAATGTTCAAAGGATGCCTAATTACTACAAATGGTCAGCAAGTCACTTGACCAAAGCGAACTTCATACACTGTGCAACGTTCTATCTAAGCACTCGAAAGTGTTCAATTTTTCTGAAAACAGCCAAAGGCCCTTAATCCCTGCGTCCCGGATACGTCACCAGATCCACACCAAGTCGGCGAATTCCACTAGGCAGAAACCTTACCGAGTGGCATTATCGGAGCGCAAGATCATCGACGAGCAAGTTCAAGAAATGTTCAGGAAGGGAATAATACAGGAATTGGCAAACCCGTGGGCTGCTCCCGTCATTCTAGTGAGGAAGAAGGATGGTACGTGGAGATTTTGCGTCGGCTGCCGCCGACTGAATTCTGTCACCAAGAAACACATCTATCCACTGCCTCTCATTGATGGCGCTCTAGACTGCCTGCATTCCACCTCCTACTTTTCATCCGTTGACCTAAATCAGGTTACTGGCAGATTCCGGTGCACGCAGCTGACAAAGAAGAGACGGCATTAGTTACAACCGATGGACTTTACGAGTTCAACGTTATGCCATTCAGAATATGTAATGCTCCTGCGACATTTGAAACATTTAGGGACTCTAATTGCGTGGTTTAAAATGGCTTATATGCATGTGTTACCTTGACGATGTCGTATTTTTTGGACGTACGTTTGAGGAGCACAATACCCGCCTAGACCTCGTGCTCAACTGCATTGAAAAAGCTGGCCTTGTATTGAATTCGAAAAAGTGCCACTTTAGCGAGCGACAGACTTTGGTGTGGGGATAATTCGTCGACAAAGATGGCATTAGACCTGTCTCACAAATGACAGCAGCCGTCCTCAGTCTGTGAAACAACTGCGTAGCTTCATCGGGCTGTGCACGTATTTCCGCCGGTTCATACCCAGGTTTGCGGATGCCGTTCACCCCTTGACGAGACTTCTACGCAAGAACAGCGCATTTCAATGGACCTCCGAGTGTGATGCCGCTTTTCACCAGCTAAAGTGTTTGTTACCTTCGCAGCCAATACTTCGGCATTTCAATCTTTCGTCGCCCACGAAAATTCGCCGCACAGACGCAAGCGGCACCGGTATCGGTGCCATACTCGTTCAGCGTTCTGGCAAGAAGGAACACGTTGTGGCATACGCAAGTCGTTCTTTAAGCAAGCCTGAACGCAACTACACAGTGACCGAACAGGAATGCCTATAGCGGTAGTATTTGCCGTACAACGATTTCGCTCATACATCTATGGTCGCCCGTTCACTATCGTCACAGATCACCATTCCCTTCGTTACTTCGTTACCCATCCGGCCGCCTTCGTTACCCATCCGGCCGCCTCACACGATGGGCCATTCGTTTGGAAGAATATGTCTTCACTATTTCATACAAGACTGGCCGTCTACACGCTGATACGGATTGCCTGTCCAAGATGCCGCTACCAACAACAGATTGTGAAGCAGATAACTTTGACCACCTTGTCGCTTCTCTGTCGTCTGGCGTTCCTGATGCCGTGACTTTCGCCGCTGAGCAGTGTAATGACCCAAACATGAAAGATCTCTTCCCTGGAGCAAGAAAGTCATTAAGCGAAGGCCGATTCAGCGTCCGAAATGGTCTGCTTTACCAGAGAAACTTATCCACGATGGGAACCCGCTTTCTGCTGGTTGTTCCTGCGTCCCTCTAAACGTCTGTTCTGCGTCACACGCATGATGACTCCAACTCCGGTCATATAGGAACCGCACGAACACTTAGTCGCGCGAAAGAGCGGTTCTACTGGCCGAAAATGAGCAAGACAATTAAAAAAAAACCTGGCCAGCTGTACTCAAATTCAGAGCCACAAGCGGCCCATCTCTGGCCCAGTTGGTCACCTGCAACCCGTAAAGCCTCACGGTTCCCCTTTTGAAAAGGCTGGCATTGATCTGATGGGACCATTTTTACGCTCCTCAAGAGGTAGCCGGTGGACAATTCTATGCGCCGACTACCTGATGTGGTACTGTGAGACGACTGCCTTATCCTCCGCCACGGCAGTCCAGGTTTCGAAGTTCCTGTTGCTTTCAGTTATCTTCCGACACGGGCCACCTCGCGTGATAATAAGTGACCTTGGACGACAATTTACCGCTGATATTGTGGAATCCTTACTTTTTTTGTGTGCCTTCAAGTTCCGACACTTAACTGCGTATCATCCACAAACTAACGGCCTCACTGAGCACACAAACCGAACGTTCATCAACATGTTGTCAATGTACGTCACCTCCAACCACAAAAACTGGGATGAAGTGTTACCATTCATCACGTACGCCTTCAACACAGCAAAACACGAAACGACAGGCTACAACCCTTTCTATCTTCTCTACGCTCGCTCACCTTGACATACGCTGGACCTTATCTTTCCTTTATCCGTCCATAACGATTTAACAATTGCGGAAAGTGTGTGTCGTGTGGAAGAGACACGTCGACTTGCCTGCTTACGTACACTGACAGCACAAGAGTCCTGCAAAACAAGGTACGACAGTCAACACCGGCATGTAACCTATGCCCCCGGTGATCTAGTGTGGGTGTGGAAACCAATACGCAGACGTGGCTTGAGCCAAAAGCTACTGGCACATTACGCTGGTTCATTCGTGATACTCCATTGTCTCAGCGAGGTCAGCTATTAAATTGCACGTGTCACCACTGGTGGTTTACGTTCATGCAAGACAGAGGTGACGCATGTTGACCGCCTGAAGCCATTTACACGAAGGATACAAGAATGACTCACCCAGAGGGCTTCGTCTAAGACAGGAGGAATGATACGAAGTGTCATTACCAGGACAAACAAGGAAAGCGCGGGTAGAAAAGGAAGACGACGTTGCTTCTACTGCGATTCCCCTGAGTGGGTACGAGCCATAATGGTGGAATGGTGATCATCATGATATTGTGATCGCGGACTCGGTGCGCAATAAAACCCCACCCGTTAAGTTACTTGACCATACGTACCAATATATATATATATATATATATATATATATATATATATATATATATATATATATATATATATATATATATATATATATATATATATATATATACAGCGAGAGAGACAGTGAGAGCGAAACTTATCTTAGCTGTTGTCCCAATTTTATTTCCAACAGTTTCGACCGGTGGCCTGGTCCTAATCAAGGGACTTGTTCGCACACCATCACGAAAACCAGTCTACTGCTCAAAACCATTGAAACTGAAATTATTACAACGCTAAGTACCGCTTCATCACTTCCCAAGTACGCTTGGCCCATTAGAAAACTTCGGTATTGAATGTATGAAACACTCTTTTGAACATACCTTCCATCTGGCTCGCGTTACGAAAAAAGTAACGCCTTGAACATGCAGGCCCCTTCTAACCATGTAGGCGTATTCCGCTAGTGCGTGGTTCTCATGTGTGTTTGCTGGAATGACTTCCGTCCATCCGCCAGCTTCAAAGCTTTCTGTACAAAAGCTCACCAGTAATGCAATGAACAGCATTGAAGCATCAACTGCAGCCATATCCTGATTTGCTCAACCTGCAGTTGCCAAAAAAATAAATATGAGATTTAGCGGTATTCAATACCACAAAAATTTACTAAGGTGCATTCGCAATACAATGTCAGATTCTCATCGTTCAAGAAAGTGGTGCTTTTTACCATTTCATGATTTTTTTGTAATTTTATACTATTATTAGATTGCATTGAACTGTAATGATGCCGCGAAAATCAGTAATATTTACTGTGCCGGTGCTCTGTTTATTCGCAACATATACAACTTCAATTTATGTCCGAATGACTAAAAGCCACAATGTCTCATAACTTCCTTTTTCAGGGCTTTAAAAATGAGGTGCTTCGAGAACATGCAAAGCACCTTGCAAGTAACACATCCTGTTGACATGAGGAACTACGACAGCATATCTAAAAACACCGAAGTCACTAATAAAAACAGGGTTAGGTTTATATTTGCTCATCGAAAGGGGAAACAAGGGCTGCTCCTGAGTCATCACATGATCACCTGAGCACTTCTATGCATAGACTTTCTCACTCACAACTGACGTGGCAACTCATCAGCCTGTAAAGTGTGCAGCAATGCAAAAGTTTATTTTTCGTAAAACGTTGAAAACTGAACCAAATGCTAAAAAATGTGAACTGCTTGTATGCTGGTGAGCAGAGGGAAGGCAGTTTCAACTGCAGTCTTTCGAGGATCTTTCCGAAAACCTCACTGATGCATTACATGTTACAGGAAGGAGAGCTTTTTGTGCACTAAGTTTCACAATACTAGCCCGACGGTTAGTCAATATTCCTTGATACCCCGTAAGACTGTCTGAAGCCGGCTACGACCATTGCATTTCGCCATAACAAAATTTACGTTTCGATTTCTCTCGGGGAAGTCAACTTGCCAGAAGCTGTCTTCAAATTGATCGACTGGACTAGAAACACCTCCCGTTCAACAGCTGGTACATGGAGTCACCTATCCGTTGAGCGACGTACATAGCTTACTCCATCATTTTGTTCACACGGGTGGGATCAACGTATATTCACAAGTAATCATCCGTATTAGCTGTGTTGCATTTTAGGGACCCGGATGATAATACCCTGTCATATGCTGTCACCACCGCATTCCGTAACGCTGGCAAAACACCGTTTAGCCTAGCCATCTGTAACATACTTTGCGTGCTCTCGGGCCTAAGAAAAGTCTTGTTTCGACGGGCGAAGCTCGCCTAAGCCTAACCTTGTCACGCGTAACTGGTCTGACGTACAGACAGACAGATGGACGGACGGATGGATGCACAGATGGACGGAAGGTTGGACGGATGGACACAGAGAAAAAGAGACAGGCAGAAAAAAGGAGTTTTGATTGTGATAGGTAATCGCCTCTTCTACCATATGACAGGAAACATACTTTATTAAACTCTTTGTGGCACTCCACCTCCTATATTACTGTCGACGATCAGTATGCACATGTCAGGAAGCCAACGTGTACTGTACATTCTGAGTCTCTCAATAAGGTAAGGAGTTGGCGCTTGTCCAGAACTCCAGTGCTTCTTATGTAAATGTGCTTCATCGCGGCCACATGGCAGTTCACAAATGGTACCTACTTACCAATGGGGGGACTGCACACGCTGTTATTCTTCGAAACATCATGTCTTCTCAACAACTAGTGCTTGTGCTCGTTCATCATGTATATCAGTCACCGTTATTCATATTGTCGAGTTGGTCTCGCGCCCTCTTGGTTACTGTGTGCTTAAAGTCTCACGCTCTTTTAATTCAAATAGGTGGTGACGGGGAAGCATAGAAAGGGGGAGACTACAGAAGAATATTAGCTGTTGGTTCTCGGCAACAAGACTCTCTGTTATCATTCTGTCAGCTTCGTCTGACATTTATTAAGGGTATACTTCCCCTAGTATTAGCTCGAAGACAGACACCAATCGCGTATGATGAATGCTGTCTCGATAAAACTATGCAATAAAACTTTGTAGGCTGCAACTGGCAATTACAGTTATGTATACTTTCACGCTGTGACCTCACAGACAAAAGCTAAGTGTATGTGATGAATTCCAGCTGAACCGAAGTGATATATAAGTAATTGTGCATATTGAGGTATGCACGTGTACGCTCTCCCTTGAGCGTTTCAGGAGTTTGGAATAACACTTATGTGCATAGTTTCCTGTTTAAGCATCAAAGTTTAATAATTACGTGGAGGTAAATAAATACACTTAGAGCATTCGAAGCATTTTATACTGTTTCTGCAAAAGAACGCCTAACTCATGGCACATTCATTGCTTCGAAACTTTTTATTCTAGTACCGCCTACGCGCAAACTGTTTTGTCGAGTGGCAAAGATTGAGTGATCTCTTGATACTGACAGCTTTGGCGTTTCAAGCAGTGTGCATAGGTCGCTTAATTTTTTCATCTTCTGCACATAGAGGTTAATCTCGAACGCAGAGACTGGATGAGTGTTTCATGTCTCAGAGTAGATGATAGTTATTTGGGGCGACTATATGTGGAGGTTGAGCAGGTTATGTATCGCAATGTATTAAATTTAGTGATGGGTAAACACGGCCACGTAGCGCTAACTCTCTGTGTTTGTTATTTTTTGCACATCAACCAAATATATATTTTAGCCAAAGACGAAGACACAACAAAACGCTCATATATATTTCTTGGATCTTACACATCAATGATATTTGCTTTCAGTATGGCCAGAACGGGCAGCTCGATCGGCCTGTTCATTGCCAATTATTCCTTGATTCCGCTCTCCAGAGCTGACGCTGCACAGACACTCCGCATGCTGGCTCACGAGTGCACCACATCGCAACAAAATGAACCAAACTTCACGCACGCACGATTGTATACCTTAGAACCTGCTCTCAGACTTCAAATTCCTCCTGGGCTTGGCGAACGAGACGCTACTATGCTGGGTGTCTATGCTGGTTATGGGTGGGTGTCACATTTACCAATGTGTTCGCGTGCCGCATAGGATTGGCCTTCACTGCAGCATGTGACCATGGCGGCCGTGACGAAACAACTTCGCATATTCTGTGCGAATGCCCACAGTACTGCTTGCAGTGACAGTCACTCAGCAATAACTAGAACAACTGGACATCCCGACTCTTTCGAAAGAAAGAATCCTGCGCTAATAACAGGACTTCACGTCACAGAAGAAGGCTGTCAAAACGCTCCTTCGCTTCCTGCGTCCAACCAGTCTCTCCAAACGGCTGTCATGATAACGCCCTGCATATGTGCGCATGTGTATGTTTTTCCTAATTTATTTTCTCTTTCTATCTCTAGCCTCTTCGCGACTCCTATTTGCCACCCCTGTACAGCGAAGCAAAGCAGTTCTTCTAGGTTAACCTGCCTAATGAAATGCTTTGGCCATAAATAACACACACACAAAGTAAAGAAACACTCAATGACAAGCAGAAGTGGCACCTAAGCAAGTACCAACTAAGGAAGTACCAACTAGGCCAACAATCAGTATTGTTAACCTGCCGTCTCTTCTTTTTTATATACTTCTCTTTCTACAGATGAATGCATAGCGATTGTGAGAGATTCTTTAAGCGACCGAGGAGATGGGGAACTTAGGTACCTCATAATTCATAAAGGTGGGCAGGGGACATAATTTTGCAGGTATAACGTGAGAGCAAAAAACACGGGACCCGGTTGATTGGTGGAATATGGGAGAGGCTTTTGTCCTTGAGTGGGTGTAAATAGGTTGATGATAACAATGATAATGACAACGGTGCTGAAGAAATGACAAGCTCAAACCCGATCCCTTCGTATTCTTACGTGATTTAAGCTGACTCAAACAGGGCATTGTGGGACATATGCAAAAAAGGTGCCTCAGACTGAAAGTCAAGAAGTGGACGTTGTCGGTCAGCTGCGCTGAGGCTGTAGACTGACTACTATTATTTTTCACGTAACATTTTGGTGGAGGTGCTGGGTACTCTTCTGACAACGGAGCTACGCAGTGGACGCCTCCTTAAGTCTGCTACTATGGCTCCGGGTGAGGAGACGGCTTTGCCACCTACCTCAGCAACGACAGCAACCCGGTACATCGCCCTAACGCAACCCCGTGATCCCGGTACCTTTACTGGAGAAGAAAACGCGAATGTGGACAAGTGGCTCAGTATGTACGAGCGCGTCAGCAAACAATATGGCTGGGACCCAACCGTTATGCTTGCGAATGTCATTTTTTATCTTGACAAGACCCCTCGCATCTGGTTTGAGACCCATGAGCATGAATTCACAAGCTGTCAAATGTTTAAACATCAGCTCCGCGACCTCTTTGGCACCCGTTAGGTCAACAGCTTGATGCCCGAAAGCAATTGGCCGTACGTACACAGACGTCCACTGAGCCCTACTTGACTTATATTCAAGACGTCTTAGCGTTGTGTCAAAGGGCGGATCCCAACATGACTGAGGCCGACAAGATTTCGCAGGTTTTAAAAGGAATCGCCGACGATGCTTTCAGCCTGCTTGTATATACCAACGTAACGGCCATCAACGCCGTGATCAAAGAGTGCCGCCGTCTCGAACAGGCGAAGAGTCGACGCATTTTGCAGCAGTTTCAGTGCCTACCCAACACCGCGGCAACGTCGTCTTGCGAAGCCACTCCTTGTCATCCGTCTATGACCGAAGACGTGGCGCGCATCGTCCGACGTGAACTCAAGGCCGCGTACCCGGTTGCCAGCAAACCAACGTTGCCAGACGCCTCAATGCCAGCTGTCGTCTTGATCCAGGCTGTTGTCCGCCAGGAATTCGCTAACCTTGGTATCCTGTCCACTGCACCTACCCTGGATAATACTGGTCCCTCGATAGCTTCTGTGGACATGAGACTTCGCCTCCCGTACTCTATTCGAACCAGGAACCCGTCTGAATGGCGAACAGCTTATGATAAGCCAATCTGCTTCCGCTGTGGTCGCGCAGGACACATCGCTCGTTACTGCCGCAGCCAATGGCCATCTATGTCTTCTGGCTCGTACCCCACTTACAGAAACTCATTTCGTCCACCAAACCACCGTTATCCGACCAGCACTGAGTCTACAGCATTTACTGCCCCTGCGGACTACGGCCACCCTGTCCCGTCGTCGCCACTGCCTCAAAGCCGCCCTTCTCGTTCAAATACGCGTCGCCGCTCTCCCTCGCCATCGTTTAACCGCCGTATGTCCCCGTAAAACTAGGCTACGCAGCTTCTGGAGATGAAGCTGCCCTGTCGACCTTACCCAAAAATCCTCTGTTGCCCCTACGTTTGAACCGGAACACCCTAGAAGTATATGTTGATGGCACACCTGTTGAAGCTTTGATAGATACGGGCGCTCACGTCTGATTAGGAGTTCGCGTTTTGGTCGTCGCATGAAGAAGGTCCTCACGCCCCCCTTGACCAGTGTCGTCCAAGTTCCAGATGGTGCGACGGTCCCTGTAGTCGGTATGTGCACAGCTCAACTTACCGTAGCCTGTCATCAAGTGGTCGTCCTTTTTACCTTGCTTGCAACATGTCCCCACGACCTCATACTAGGCCTTGATTTTTTCGCCGCCAATTCTGCTCTGATTGATTGCTCCACTGGTGTGCTCCGCCTAGAGCTGCCACAAATCAATGACGCCTCGTACCAACCTACATGCCGATTAAAATGCAGCGACTTTGTTCACCTGCCCTCCAAAACTGTGACGTATGTCGATTTTCTGTGCACACCAGCTGTGCCCGACGGTGACTATTACGCTACGCCTCTCACCGACGTACTCCTTGCGCACAATGTTGCAGTGCCCTATACGGTGCTCAGCATCATAGATAACAAAACTTGTCTACGACTAGTAAATTTCGGCTACATGAATCATGTGCTTCCACAGGGCGTTTCCGTGGCACACCTGTGTCCGTTGCTCGATTCACAAATTGTAGTGCTTGCCTTAGACACCCTTGTTTCACCGCAGCGCACATCACTAGCAACAAATTTGGCCAGCCGTCAAATTGTAGACATGATCGCCACTGATCTTCCGCCTCCGCAAGTTGAAGCCCTACAACATCTTCTCGAGGCCTACCAGAAATTTTTAGATTTTGGTGACTGACCTCTAGGGCAGACGTCCTTTGTCCAGCATCGCATACACACAGGTGATGCCAACCCTGTTCCCCGCCATCACTATAGAGTGTCTGCTTTTGAGTGGAGCATAATTCAGAAGGAGGCTAACAAGATGCTAGCGAAGGACATTATTGAACCGTCCTCTAGTCCCTGGGCATCCCCGGTGGTATTAGTTAAAAAGAAGGACGAATCGTGGCGATATTGTGTGGACTATATATATCGCCACCTTAACAACATCACCAAGAAAGACGCATACCCTCTGCCCCGCATTGACGACGCCCTTGATAGCCTCCTTGGTGCCGCCTACTTTTCTTCCATCGATCTTCGTTCTGGTTATTGGCAGATTGCTGTGGACCCCATGGACCGAGAGAAGATGGCTTTTGTAACACCCGATGGCCTCTACCATTTCAAAGTCATGCCTTTCGGCCTATAAAATGCTTCGCCACCTTTGAACGAATGATAGACTCCCTGCTTCATGAATTCAAGTGGTCTACGTGTCTTTGTTATCTGGATGACGTGATCGTGTTTGCTCCCACTTTTGAAGCGCACCTTGAGAGACTGTCGAAAATTCTTGATGTCTTCCGTCTCACCGGCCTTCAGCTGAATTCATCCAAGTGCCGGTTGGGTCGCCGTCGCATTACAATACTTGGACATATTGTTGACGCTTACGGCGTACAGCCTGACCCAGTAAAAGTTCGAGCTGTGAAGGACTTTCCTGTGCCAAAAACTGCCAAAGATGTCCGCAGCTTTGTGGGGCTCTGCTCCTATTTTCGGCGGTTCATCAAGAACTTCGCGGAAATAGCTCGGCCCCTAACAGATTTACTCAAACCAGATAAGACGTTTACCTGGGGTCCCTCGCAAGCAGCAGCATTCTCCGACCTGACCACTTTGCTCACTTCTTCTCCTGTGCTGGCTCACTTTGACCCTACGGCACCAACCGAAGTCCGCACCGATGCCAGCGGTTACGAAATAGGCGCTGTGTTGGCTCAGCGACAACGTGGGCAGCATCGCGTGATAGCTTAAGCCAGCAGACTGCTGTCCCCCTCGGAGCGTAATTATTCCATCACAGAGCGCGAATGCCTAGCGCTGGTGTGGGCAGTCGCGAAATTTCGCCCTTACTTATACGGCCGACCTTTTATAGTTCTCACCGACCAGCACGCTCTTTGCTGGCTCGCCTCCCTCAAAGATCCCACAGGTCGTCTCGCCCGCTGGGCACTCCGCCTCCAGGACTATTCTTACATCGTAGTGTATAAATCAGGAAAACCGCACAACGATGTGGATTGTCTGCCATGCTACCATGTTGCCGACTGCAATCTTATGAGCACTAATTATGTGGGTTGCGTCCTTTCCATCTCCCAGCTGCTTCATCTCGGGGACGAGCAGCGTCGCGATCCGGATATCAGCCGCCTAATACAACAGCTCGAATCTTCACCGCAAGACGCTGCTGTTCGCATGTTTACCTTAAAGGACCACACCTTATATCGGCGTAATTTATCACCCAATGGTCACGACCTACTTCTGGTCATACCAAAGCACCTGCGCTCTACAGTCCTACACGAGCTCCATGACGCGCCAACCGCCGGTCACCTTGGTGTCTCTCGCACATATGACCGTGTGCGCTGCTGCTTCTACCGGCCTGGACTCTCACGCTCTGTACGTCGTTATGTCAATGCTTGTGAAATTTGCCAGCGTCACAAAAAGCCGTCGGGACTCCCTTCCGGATATCTTCAGCCCATTGACATCCCATCGAAGCCATTCTTCCGTGTTGGTTTGGACCTTCTCGGTTCTTCCCAACGTCCGCCTCCGGAAACAAGTGGGTCGCGGTGGCTACGGATTACGCGACCCGTTACACAGTTACGCGAGCCATGCCAACAAGCTGCGCTACAGACGTCGCTAATTTTCTACCACGCGATCTCATTTTAGTGCATGGAGCCCCTCGTCAACTGCTGACAGACCGAGGCCGTACGTTTCTTTCGAAAGTGGTTGACGATATCCTGCGTTCCTGCTCCACCCAACATAAGCTCACATCATACCATCCCCAGACAAACGGGCTTAGAAAACGTTTAAACCGCACCCTGACAGACATGCTATCGAAATACGTCTCGGCCGACCATCGTGATTGGGACCTTGCACTACCCTACGTGACGTTCGCATACAATTCCTCCCGGCATGACACTGCTGGGTACTCGCCATTTTACCTTCTGTTTGGACGCGAACCAACATTGCCGTTGGATACCTTCCTGGCAGCTGCTGCGCAGTCTACTTCTGAATATGCACGCGACGCTATTACCCGAGCTGACCATGCTCGTCAGCTTGCCCGCAGCAGAATAACGGCGCAGAAGAATCGCCCAAGACTCGCAGAAGAATCGTTACGACGAGTGGCATCGCGACGAACACTTTCCAACAGGTTCCCTCGTTCTTCTTTGGTCCCCTACGCGACATGCAGGCCTTTCAGAAAAACCTCTCTCTCGTTTCACGGGCCCATACCGCGTGCTTAGATGAGTGACCGACACTACGTATGAAATTGTCCCTGATAATCCATCAACCTCTTCTGCTCTGCTGTCAAGGGACATCGTCCACGCATCAAGGCTCAAGCGCTACCACACTGCTCCTGCTGTGGCCCCGTAAACTCGCCGGGTTGGCGCTTCTGCCGCCGGGGGTCGTGTTACGTGATTTAAGTTGACTGAAACAGGGCATAGTGGGACATACGCAAAAAAGGTGCCTCAGACTGAGAGTGAAGAAGTGGACGTTGTCGGTCAGCTGCGCTGAGGCTGTAGACTGACTTCTGTTATTTTCCACGTAACAGTATTACTCGCGTATGCACAGCGTTAGACATAGCGAACATACTAGATACTTAGAGGCGAACTCCCCCTTCAACTAACTCCTATCTACATGCCGTGTCTCTTACTTGATAGATATGGCTTATGATAGGTAACCAGTGCAGAATAACCTACTGAAATTTCTATAGAAAGGTTTCATAACTTGAAGTGTCACGTTTCTATCCTAAGACCAGCAAGTCCTGCACAATTTACCCTTTCTTGCTTATACTTTCGAAAAACATCACACTGCTAGACCAGAGAAAATCGTTGAAGCGGGAGTACATTCCTGTCGTGTTTCAGCGCTGGCTAACGGCGCGCGTAGATTGGTAATACGCAAGAGTAGGCTTTCTTGCGATGCAGTTATTCTTTCAGTCATGTAAGCGCTCTTGTTTTTCCACCTATTTTTACTAAAGCCTCAGTGCTCATTAAACAGGACCGTGAATCAGAACTAAATAGATCAACTTTCGGTTCTTTAAGACAAGTGCTGGCGTAGTCATATAAAAAAATAATATCAGAATGCATTCATTTGTGATGGCGCTTTTTTCTTCGACATAAGTAGGATGAACAGGATTGGTGTCTATGATGACCACGCTAAAACGTGATCAGCTGCCGTTCACACCACGCTTTCATTTCGCTGCAATGCAAGGGGTGTCTGAGCACTTGACTTACCATTGGAAACTCTCCTAGAGCTCTTCGTTTAGTCACAGTTGCGATGTACACCATACACTTGTGTAATGTGCTGCGTGCACATATACAGCTTCACAACTTGTTGATGTTGTGTCTGATACTGTACGCGATTAATTATGTATGAAGCTTTAAACCACCTACTCATTGTACATTTCACGCGGTGTGTCCTCTAGTCAGAATCTAAGAGTCTGCCTAGCAATATTACATCTGTTATTTGGACCCCTCTCCAACCTTAAAACTTGATAGCATTTTCTTTTTGTTTGAAGCAACATCAAACACTTGCATAGCTCCAAAATTGGATGCAAGGGCTCTTTGTGGCGAAACAGCGCAGACAATGGGACAAAGAAGGTACGCGACTGAGCGATCAACATAATCCCATTTCTTTACTGTAAAGGCAGAACAAATACAGGCAGATGAATGATTAGGAAAAGAAATGACCCAAGTGCTACCAGCTGAGCGGTGGCTGTCGTTACTATTAGTTGGGCTAAGGGTTTTACAAAATACGGCAAAGGCACCTATAAGAAAAACGCAAACATAAGGAAGAAATGCCAAAAAATGATGATGTGGCGACTGTTTCGAAACTAAAGAAAAGTTTAAAACAATAAATTTTTATATCCGCAGATGCGAAGAACGAGGATCTAACGTTATGAGCTAATTGCAACAAAGCAAAAAAACTGCAACCCCAAGCAATTATACAGTATAAAAAACCTAAAACACAAAGTATGTGACAAGTTTACTTATCACAAGCCAGGCTCAATGAATCTTCTTTTTTCGGAGAGTTTAATAAATGCTTAATTATACAAGCTGCTTGCGTTTTCTGAATTTGCTCCACTTTTCAGCTAGATATAGGGCTTTCTATTTTTTGGCGCAAAAATGTCAACAGGAATCGTGTGGGTGTATCTAAAAATAGGAGCAACTTCTCCAATACTGTAGAGCAAAAGGAGGCCCAGTTCTCAAGCTCAAACCTAGGCGTACAGCTCACGCTCGTAGGTCATGTTTGTCAGGTAACAGTAGTTAGGGCAGTCCTGCCCTTGGGGCCCCACCAACTGAGCTCATGACTCCTTGTCTCAAGTATTTATCAATAAAGTTGCTCTTGTTGCTGTTGGTCTTCTTATTTTTTGTGGATTTAAGAAGGCTCAACCTCGACCCTTTAAATCATTTATGAACCAACCGCCATATCTTCAGTCATTCTTGCCGTTCTTTGCATTTGCTTACCTTCTCACCACATATGATAAAGTCCTTATTTAAATCAATAGTTACGACTTACAACCAAGTACTAAGATCGATTTATCTGCATTCGCGCCTTTGCTTCATATTGGTTGGTTGGACCCCATATCATCAGCTTTTTCAATCAAGAAATCTGTTGACAGTAGGTGCTGTGTCATGTTTGTTCTTCTTCTAGATCTTTGCGCTGTCCCTCCACAATGTTCATGAACCAGCTTTCCTTCCCAAGAACGCTAAGAGTTCGATACTCGCTCACCCTAATCTCCTATTTATTTCGTCTATTAGAATGTGCAACGCGGATGTTTCATTCAAAGTCAAAGCCACCGACATGGCGCATTCTTCAGCGTGGCCTTCTTTAACTTGTTGTGTCAAAACAGCAAAGAGAAAATCAAATAGAGTTTTGTTTTCTGCTTTTCACGTTAGCCTTCTGTGTATTTCCCGTCGCTATAACTTTCTATGTCAAAAAGTTGAAACAATGATATAAAGTTGCGAATTTCTGGTCTGTTGGCATTTTCCATGACTTTCGTATTTCAATAACTTATGTTTCTTAGACATGACACAGTTTCTATTCATTCTGCTACATTTCATAAAATTTTGAGTACTTTCATCTATATCACATCGGTTTTCTCACCAGTGAGTTCTCATCATAGATATTTTTCTGTATGGCGTTTATAAGACCTCATCTGCACCAAACCTTCGAAGTCATCGCTCCTCTTGAGAGGCTACTAGGTGGAGGTAGGAAAACTGAAGCGATGCACTTTTACACACACTTCAGAAAAAGAAGAGGAAAAAAATGATTAAACATAAAAAATTAGAATATGTTACTCAGTGAGTAACTGTAAAAAAAACAGGATGCACAACTTTAGCTGGAAAATTTATGATTTGCAAGCATTTGGAACTTACGTTTTTTGCCAATTCTTGCTCTAATTTGTTTTATCTCTCTATATTTTAGGGAAGGCACCCGAGCACTAAGATTCTATTCTAAAAGTACCAAAAGACCCGTGATTTCAAATATCCCCACAATGTCTTTTGTAGCGTACACAGGAAAAGAAATAATCAAGAGAAAAAACATGCACAGGCATTGTCGGTGGTCGAGGCTACTCGTCAGAAAAAAAAGCATTTTACTGCACATGCGAAGTAGCATATAATTGATGTGATCTAATGATGGGTGAGTGTATTTTCACGCAGTCACTGTTTTACCTAATATTATGTCGCTGTTAATTTGTATCCAAAATGTAAAGTTGAGCTGTTTCACGTTCCCATGTTGTACTCCTACTTTTCTGTACGCCGACGTTGCCCTATGTTGCAGCCAGATTCACTAATGTATGCTAACTGTGTAAACAACACTTGCTTTACTGACCTATATAAGCCGAAACTTAGGAGGAGTAAAAAAAAATAATTTCTTTCCCCAAAAATGAGTGCTTCCATGACCTCAGAAAACAGAATTAGGATTTTAATAAAAAAACTCTTTTGAACAAAGGTTTTGGAGCCATCTACCCATTTTTACACACTGCGAACAAAAAACATTAGCGCCTATCACTGTCATACAAAATTACTGCACACCCAATAACTGACCAACAAGTGACAAAAATATCAGCAGCATCGAGAAAGTTTTGACTCCATATTACTTATATTCTTGGCGGTATAGCGCTCAGCAAGCGAAATAACCACTTCGTTAACCTAATCGCGTGGCTATTTGTAGCCCAGCGATCACGTAGACTTGGATGTGACGAGGATAGATCATCACAAAAACACTTGGGTGGTGCTACCTTCCTTACAGAAAACACACTCTAGTTACATTGAAAAGCTTCAGTGTCATTCATGTAGAACACTAGGCATATATGAGCTCAGATAAGCATAAAACTGGGAAGAGCTCTGATATAAAAAAGAAAATACAAAACATTCATACTAAAACACCAGGTTAACATATGATTACGAAATGTAACAAGTTTTAAATCTCCGCAGGTCAGTATTAGGCACATTCAAAAATGAAGAAGTTTCAAAGCTATAGAGGTCATATTGAAAGAAAATAGAAGGTGCGCGCTTCACGAACGGTATCTACACCTACCACACTGCTCCGGAAAACAATATATCCAATTTGGTACTGCACTCCTGCCAATACCTGCAGTGTAAAGGATTTACGTTACATTATAGCACCGAGTGTGTCTGCAAAAAGGCGCCTTGGCAGGCAATACCTGCTGCTTCCAATACGTTGATATTTTTTATGACATGAGCACACTGATGCAGAGATGTTGAACGTCAGCTTCACCTAAAGAGTAATACCAATCACAATTGTGACAGAACAGTATAGAACACCTACAAGCGAAAATTCTTTATATTAGTTGGGAAGTTCAACGTGGACATTAAGAACCTTAGAACCAAGATTTGTCATCAACTCTTTATCTCACTTTATGCCACTCTATTTAAATATATGGAACAATGTTCGGGTATAGCAAGGCAGAGTCGAAACTATATTAGGCACAAAAAAGGTTAACAATAGACTCATATTTATTACACATGTGACTGAACAATGTAAACCACCCACAAGAACAAAGCCTTTATGCTACCTAATGATTTTTAAAGAGCGTACAAAGACAAGAAATGTAAAGCAGAGTTGGACAGACAAACGCTCACTTCAAACCGGAGTTTGTTCACTGAGAGAGAGAGAGATAAAGCTGCACGGAAAAGCAGGGAGGTTAACCAGACGCGCATCCGGTTTGCTATTCCGCACAGGGGAGGGGATGAAGGGGAGAAAAGAGCTTGCAAAGAGACAAGAAGGTACACACAATGACGAGCACACTCGGGGGAACACACACAATCTACAGGTGGTCGCTCAGGTTTGTTGTCTTTAAGTAATGTAGGAGTTCTTTAGTCGCTTTCGCGCAAATGAGGCAGATAGTCAAGGCTCACTGAAAAGACCAGGTTTTATCTTACACCTAACATGAAAACGCATGCATGAAACTACAATCTACAAAAAGCGACAGATGAACAGCTATCACCGCAGAGTTAAAAAACGTTAAAAATTGAGCCAAAAAGAAAAACCGTACCTTCTACACATTGTCATAACCGGCAATACAAGGAACTGGCATGCAAGGGACGCTCATCGGCGTACCTGCCATAAGCTGTCCGCCTTCCACGGGAACGCGGGAAATCTCTTGGCGCACTGCGAGGAACACGTATCGGCAGGCCTGCTGTACGCAGTCGGCGTCTAGCGCGGGCACGGACGGCTATAAAAGGAGCGTGTCGGGAGTGAGCTGGGCTCTCTCTCTGTACTTCGCTGGCCCGCTCGTCTCGAGTGCGCTCTGGGCTCTTGTAATGAAGAGGCACGTCTGTACGCTCTCGTTGCAATGTACTTTTCTTGCAAATATGTAAATTAAACGCATCTTCTACTTGTTCGTGAAACGCGTCGCAAGAGTCGTCCTTCGCCGGATCTTGGGTGGCAGGCTCAACCCCTCCCCTGGTATATCAACTGGTTGGTGCGGCGGGATTGGTTCGTGTTCTTTCCAGGTTCGGATGCTGGTGAGGGCTCACTTTTCGTAGAGATTCTGCCAGGTGTTTTGGATACATGGTGATGTTTATCCAAAAGGGTAGATTAGTTGCTGCTTTGTGAAGGATTGGGTTTATTAGAGGTACCTTCACGGCAGTTTGAGCAACGAAAGTCTGCGCGGGGTGACCATGGACTTGAACAAACTGAGGAAACCGGATTTAGTGCTGTTGTGCCAGGAGCTGGGGATTGAGGTGGCGACTATACATAGAAAGCCACTTTTAATACAGGCAGTTAAGGATTCTGGCGCGGATGCGGAGGAGCTCGCCGAGTGCTGGGAGCTAATTCAGGAGAGGATGAAACAGGCACAAGAAGTCGAAGAGCGA